CACACACACACACACACACACACACACACACACACACACACACACTGTGTAAATCAGTACTAAATAACTTTTGATTTAGACACCCTATTTATAAGCCTATAAATGAATGAGAAAACTAATATTTGTTTCTCCTGTGTGAATCAACCTGCTTTCTTGTCTCATCCTGTCGACGCCGACTCTAATTTTTGTTCTACCCCAGCAGAGGGCAGCAGAGTGTAATTCTTCCTCTGATTTAAAAACAATGTGTTTGTCCACAGGAGRTCACCAGTGACCAGCCAACCCACTGTTCCCCAAGCTACACTCTCTGGTATGCTGTCAGCTAATTCAAACTTACAGTCTAAGGAGGTTTCTTTTATTAAGGCGCCACGGCTCCCAAACTCTGAAAAATGAGTCACCTGTAATGAAACTATATGAAGCATCACGAGGTGTGTGTTTTTGCTGAGCAAATAGTTGACTCCCTGCATTTATATGAGACTGAGGAAAGCTTAAAATGTACAGTGCTCAATTTTGGATACAGTTATGGATAGAAAAAGCTTTTTAATATACAGATCTGTACAAAAGATATGACTCATTCCTAAATTTTCTTACTAGGAACCAGACTAAACTTTTGAAATAGTTTTGAGTACTCTCACCTCGTTTCACCCAAGCTTTACTTTGACTGCTTTTCCACTCATTTTTAGCCCAAAAAATAAATAAAAAAGATTTAAAAATATATTAAAAAAGATTTAAATGAAATAGACAGTATTTTTTTTTATCACTTTGGGTGCTCTTCTCACGTTGCTTTTGTTTTACTCTCTGAGGCTGTGTCTGTCTCCTTCCCAGAGGAGACGTACCAGCAGATGGCTCGGGAGACTCTGGAGGAGCTGGACTGGTGTCTGGACCAGCTGGAGACCATTCAGACCCACCGCTCTGTCAGTGAGATGGCCTCCAACAAGGTGGGCAAACATCTCTGCACAAACACGAAACCCACTCACTGACCGCCAGCTAGACCGCTGTATGGCGCAAACGTCCTGATGAAAAACAGCTTTTATGAGTTTTATTTAAACACGTGGCTTATAAAACCTGCACACTCAGTAAAATACTCTTCCTCTAGAAGCATTCCTGTCAGGACTACTTGTTTTGTTTAAGAAGTTATCAGTGTCACTGCTAATGTATCATTATTGTAATAATTTATATAGAGTTTTATAGTTGAAGAGTTTAAGTTTTGGTTGTGGGAGTTACATTTTGAGCTGGTGAATATTTGTGTCTGTATGCGTGAACATGGACACCCATGGGTTTGTGTTTCTAGGGGCAGAGAAGGTGAGCGAGTTGGAAAGGATGTGACGATCTGCGGGTGGGGAGGAGATGGTGGGGTGGTGGTGGTGGTCCTGATGCTGATGTCTCTGCTGTAACCTTGGTTGCTATCTAACAGCAGCAGGGTCTGCCCTTCCCTTTTACTCATTGGCTTGCCTCTCTGACCATAAGACATGTGGTGYAGACAACAACCAATGAAAGGAAGACGACACTCCTTTAACACTCTTCTACCTTAAAGAGACAGTGTTGCATCCCTTGTTTTCGTTTARAAAAAGCTTATCATCTTCCACCTAAGTCTTAATAAATATGCTGATGTTTTGTGTTTATATTCCGTCAGACTGAAAAGGAAGAAACAATAGAACGACACAATTCCCATGTTTATGTGGAAGCACAGTGTGAAACGTCTCAAGGGGCAAACATGTTTTTTTTAACGCTGTGTTTCAGCAGCTGCAGCTGAGCTGCAGAAATCCTCCGGTTCGGAGGTGCTCACATGCATATTCCCACTCAGTCTCTCACTCTTACTCACACTCTCGCTCACACACATATTTTGACAGACGTACATGCTGTCGTGTCGCACATGCGCATTCGGCCTCGAACGGGAGGCACACACACACATACACGCACGCGCCTGCAGCCACTGCCTGATTAGCTTGCGAGGGCTGTCTACAGCATCCAGGGAAATGGCGCAAGAGGCAGAGCGTTGCAGGATGAACGGCAGTCTGAAGGAGCAGGAGTAGGGCGCTGGTGTTTTGGTCCCTTGAAGGATGGACTGACTCGGAGCAGGGGACGGGATCAATCAGGAGGCGAGCTGACTGCCTGTGTGCAGACTGAGAGGTGGCACGGACGGGCTGCTGCACCGGTAGGGCCTTTGGATCTGTACCATTGGGGAGGGGCAGAAGACGCAGGGAGAGGGAGACGCTTTTTCCCAGACCAGAGCTTTGGTGTGATCCTTCAGCCTGATCGTCTGCCAGAGGCCTACCTCCATCCCTCTCTGTCTCTTTCCACCCGAGCCTCTCTCATCCTCGTTTTTCTCTTGCTGTTATCATCTACACCCCCCCTCCTTCCGCTCTTCGTCTCCCTTTTCCCGATGTATTTGCTGCCATCCAAGTTCTCTTTTCCTCCATCATTCAATATCGCAGCCTTTGGTTTGTTTTGCTATCTCTCCATATTTTCTCTTTAACATTTTTTTGTGATCCAATTGAGCTCCTGCAATATTCTTTTCAAATTAACTCATCTTGTTCACCAACTGCTCCCTGTGTCCTTCACCCAGTCCCTCAGCTCCTCTCAATTTCCTTCCATCTTTACTCATCCAGCACCCAACTTCCTCCCCTGGTGACTTTAGATTTGGGTCAGCCTGCTCAGCAAATGGGATAAGATGTAGTCTCCACAGCAGCCAGATCCAGGGGGGGGTCCTGGTTTGCCCATCCGGTGGCGGGGCGGGGGGGACCCTCATCTTTTGAACACGCTAAGGCTGGAGCCTGACTCAGGACCGACGGCGGGGGCCAGCTTTGGAGTTCTGCATGTAGACAAGGACGATCGCCCTCAGCCCCTCTCCCCCCGCTCCCCGCGCCGGGGGCAGACGCCACTCTGGAGTGTCCCCCCGGCTTGACGGGCTGTGGCCTCTCCACGCACCCMCTGACGACGCCCTCATGCCACTGGGGCTCCCGCAGTGCCACCGCGCCGCTTCACTACCGTCCCGCCCGCCTGTGCCGTAGGCCCAGACCCTCGGTGGCCCTCAACATGGGTGTGGTCGAGACCATTGACCCGGCGCCRTCCCCTTGCCCCTCGCCTGTGCCGGGGGGCTACAGGCTGCCCCGCTCCTCCAGCTACAGTCCCCTGCAGGGGAGGCCGGGGGCAGAGCTGGACCTCGGTGTGGACGATGGAGGAGTTAGGGAGGGCGGTGGGATGACAGCAGAGCGCAGGACGCCCTTAGTTGACCTGTTCTGCGAGACCTGCTCAAGGCCCTGGCTCATTGGATGGTGGGACCAGGTAGGGCTGAGACAACTTTAGRACAGAGTGAAAAGTCTGCATGGTGTCGTTTTGGGTAAATGCTCYGGAAACTTCATGTACTGTTAGCCTGGCGAAGAAAAAAAGTTATAAATGATATTTTGTGTTTCATTTATTTTGTTTTAAAGGTAAAACATGAAATTATTTAAATACATTGTAGTGTTTGGTTGTGGTTTTGGGAGAAACTATCACATAGATATAAGAGAAAAGGTAATTTCTCCATGAATCTACCCAGGAGGGACAGAATTCATTACTTCTGCTCAGTGTTCACRTGGCAGATGTGTAAACAAAAAAGACTCATTCCTCATCCGTCCATGGATGTTGGTACTTTCACACCTGGTCTGCATCACTGCTCTATACATTAAAAAACCTGTTTCCAATGTGACAAATATAGCTCAGCCATTTTTATTGAAAGCATATTAGAGTACCACACAAAGACCACTTCCATCCTTTACATCTGAGTCATGTGTCCCTCTTGAGGCTGGCTTCAACAAGTGTGTGAAAGGAATGGACAAGGTTTTTGTTTTAAGACGGAGCATTTATTTCCTCCTTTTTTAAAAATTAAATCCATAGAAATGCTGCACAAAATACAACATACCTTTCTGTCCTTGTTTCTACCTGCATCAGAATGATCAGGTCACAGTTCAGAGCAAAGAGCGTGCGTCTGTGTGCRGTTTGTTGACCCATGACTGGTATACCATGAAAGGTTTATCCCTCCTGGGTCTTTTCCATGTGCAGGTGTGGAAGTGCCTACAGTCATGTGTGTACTGTGTTTCATTAGCTGGTGTCGGAGGAAGAGTGTTGTTGGTCCTGGCACCGGAGAAGTGTTGGTTGGCAGCTATGACTCAGCATTACAGCGTTAAAGGAGGAAAGAACGAGAGTGTGTGTGTACTTGTTTTTGTCACCTATTTAGGACCGTTTCCACTATACACACCTACCTTGTCAAGACCAGTAGTCCTAATGGGGACCAAAACGTCGGACCTAATATGGCGGAACTCCATTTTTAGTTTAGCCATTAGGTTTAGGACTAAGGTGTGAATTAAATATACATTGATCTGGCATCTTTACATCACTCTCCAGATTATTCCATAATCCTTTTCCTTGGATTGAAGAAAACCATTCCTTCAATCTGGTTCTAAAACAGCTCTTTTTTTAACCTAAATTTAATTGGATGATGTGTTTTTGTGAGTTGTATACATAACCTGTAAAATATTGCAAATCAACCAAATCATAGCGTTTCAATAATAATAATTTTTAAATATTTGAATATTGTATTGCATTATTTGTGTTCTTATAGGCAGCAGGTAGAGGTCACATCATTTTTCCTTAGCTTGATTCATTTTGCACATCGTGTTATCAAATTTGACTGAAATGTTGATGTGTTTAGTGCTGTGTCATTTTCTTTGTTCATTGCATTAAATTAAATTATGTGGCTTGTTAATATGCTGCCACGTCACTAACATTTTGTGTGCTAAGTAATAATTTGTTTACAGTAAATGTGTTTTGTTCAGTGTTATCATTTATCATTGCCTGTAGATGTTGGGGGGGGGGTCATTGTGTCAACTCAACCAGAGTTTGTCAGATAAAGCTTTTGATTTAGTTAGTAAATAGTTTAAAGAACTAAAGTCAGTCTCCTGATGCTGGACTGTGGTTGTTACTGGTTGCTTGTGTTTCAGCCACTAAAGAGAGGTGATTGAACATGAGAATTTGATCAATCACTCAGTAGACCTCTGAAAAATGTGTCCCCCTCACTTCTGAGATGGTGTTATGCCCTTGGAATTGAGTTTAGGTTAGTTTTAGGGTCAACCTGTGAGGTTAGCTTTAGGGTTGGTGGACAGGGTTAGGCTGTAGAAATGACTGGAAATGAATGGAAGTCAATGAACGGTCCTAATAAGGATAGAAATACAAACCTGTGTATGTGTTGGGATGGGGGTAGGTTTGGGTTGAGCCTAAATGTGCCACTGGGCTACGGCTCTCAAGGCTTTGAATGACCGGTTCTGCCCGACTACTTGCMTGATTTTCGGTTACAGTACATACGTACAGAGCCCCAGGCTGGAGAGAACGTTTCAGGAAAAAAAAACTAACAAAAGAACAAAAAGACGATGATGGCAGGAGACAAAGTGAAGCCTGAGACAGATTGTAAAGGCAGCCGCTGAGTTTTGTTTTCCTCGTGAAGAGGGGCTGGTGAGCCGGAGGTGAAACAGAGGGGAGGGCTGACCTTGGGAAAGGTCAGAGAGACACCTGCCGACTCCCTCAGATTGTCACCCAAACAGCCGCGGCTCTCRCATCAAGCTGAAGGACTGACTGTGAGGAGGCAGTTTCCATGGCAACTGCCTCCCGGTTGCCATGGGGACGGTTATGTGTGAAGGATCAGTCAGTGGGACACAGACTGAGGGGTCTGTCTAAACCACAAAGTGCCTCCTCATGACTCGTCTGATAGGAAGTCATTAAAACCTCGTGTTTGTCTGCGGCAGTAGAGCATCGCATAAAAGCTCGGAGAAGACTCGGAGCGGTTTCTTTCTGCGGGGATGATGTATTCACCTGATCACAGTTGTGTCTGCGACCTGCAGACTACGGCTGACACTGCAGATGCAGGAGGAACAATACATGTAAAAATGGCTCATTGCTGCGACACGGCTTTTAAAAGCCAGCCGAGCTGAGGTATTGAACAGCCTGTTCTCAGCTGAGAAAAGGATGATTCATAATTGATTCTCACACACTTTATAGATGAGGGCGATAATTTATTTTCTCAAAAGGAATTTCTGCTGGTGTGCAAATGAAATGTAAACCACAGTGTTAGGAATTTACAAGCCATCTCTCTGCTTCCACAATGTAACTTATGTGACTCACTTCTGTCTGCTCTCCCCTCAGTTCAAGAGGATGTTGAACAGGGAGCTGTCCCATTTGTCAGAGATGAGTCGCTCAGGGAACCAAGTGTCAGAATACATCTCCACTACCTTCCTAGGTAAAGTCAGCCCGGCGCCCGTTTGTCACCAAACCCGACAGACGTGAGGTTAAAGTGTCTGACCGTGGAGTCTTGATTGTTTCAGATAAGCAGAACGAAGTGGAGATCCCATCTCCGACTCTGAGGGAAAGGGAGAAGCCCATGTGTCACATCAGCGGTGTGAAGAAGCTCACGCACAGTTCCAGCCTTTCCAACTCCACTCTGCCTCGATTCGGCATCAAGACGGAACACGAGGAAGCTTTAGCCAGGGTGAMTGAAACCGAAAAGCAGCACAAGACATCAAAACCAACCCAGAACACAAAAATGTAACAGATGAGCATGCTTTCATTAAAAAGGATGTACATCACCTACCACTGTTTTAGATTTAAGTTGAGGAAAAGGTTCTAGCTGATTTGGACAAATCTTGATTTTGTGAATGACTCCAAGCTGCCACCACACAATTTTTAGCCCAAGTTCTAGCTATTATTGTGCTTTTTGAAGATTGATTTGCTGTGGCAACTATCTTGAATAAAGTAAACTCTAAAAGTTAATCAGCTTTAGAAGTACATATAATTATTACTTTCTACAAGTATGACAATAAAAATATTCCATGAAATGTACCTAATTACTGTCCTCGTTTACGTCCCATCTGTTGTTCCTTCAGGAGCTGAACGACTTAAACAAGTGGGGCCTTAATATCTTTCATGTGGCAGAGTTCTCCAACAACCGACCCCTCAGCTGCATCATGTTTGCCATCTTTCAGGTGAGACAAAATGACAAAAACTCAGCGAGGAATTTTTGGCAGCAGTTTGCAAAATATCACATAAACTCAAGAGGTGACCTTTAGTCTGAGCCGGTTGTTTTTACTCTTCAGGTTTTTGATGTTAGATCAGGCTTAGGGACATCAACCAATTGTTTAATTTAGACAATGACAACCGTTTGGTTACAGGTTATTTTTTTGTTCTGCTCTCGGAGGTGTAAGACGCTTTTTCCTTGGATTCACCACCTTGAGATGCACCAGCAGAACACTAGAGCAGATGGAAAATTGTTATCGTCTGCCTGACTCTTTCTGTTCCCAAAACAACTGATTACAGAATCTGGCTCTCCCCTTCAACAGCCTTGAGCTGCTGACTAAATTCTTCCTGGCTGGATTACGTCGATAAGGCTCTGCCCCACACCTCCCCCCTCCTCTGTCACCCGTCTAATCTGGCTCCTGAGCAGGCTGAGGGCCTCACAGAATGAACAGTTTACCATCAATATTCTGAACTATGGCTGCGCTGGTTTTGGGGACTGGATTCTTCGGGCCCCACTAAACTCACTTACTCCTCTGACTAATAAATCTGCCCTATGCAGAGGTTTTTTCATAAACACCATAGTGTTTCACAGTGTTGATATAATATGATGTTTTTGCTTTTTTCCCCTCATATTCCCTTGTGTTGTTTCTAGTTTTTCTGTTGTCTTGTTGTTAAGGTAGCACAACTGTGTTTGCTGCATGACCTGTCTTAACTGCACCCTCCCCCCTTCCCTGAATGTACAGCACCTTGTGAATTTATTTCTGTGAAAGGTGCTATATAAATAAAAATTTACTTACTTACTTACTTACTTACTTACTT